CTCTCTCAGCTCTATCTGTCTCTCCTCTCTCTCTCTCTCTCTCCCTCTCTCTCTCTCTCTCCCTCCCTCCCTCCCTCCCTCCCTCCCTCCCTCCCTCCCTCCCTCGCTCGCTCGCTCGCTCGCTCGCTCGCTCGCTCGCTCGCTCGCACGCGCGCACTCGTTCACCCTCTCACATGTACCTGTGCGGATGCAGGCAAACGCAGAAACACTGGCTCGTGGTTGTGGTCAGTATCACATGCACTTCGGAGAGAGAATCGCCCTTGGCACATTGTCGAATGAGGCCATCGGTCTTGCAGTGGTACTTGAAGCGTGGCGACTACGACTGCTGCACGGGGCTTTCGGGTCTCACAGAGACGTTCATGCGCTTTCCGCGTCAAATCGACATGGGAAAGAACCTTGGCATTGGAGCACTTGGCAAAATCGGGTTTCCGTGTGCAATTGGAGTGCTTCATCCAAGCGAAGGTATGCAGAAGGAGGTGCGCTGTACCATCTTTATGCGATCATGGTCGAATGTGATGACCACTACCTGTCTTACATCCGGCCCGAGATGGAAGGCGGATGAGTTGAAACTGTCAGCAGCTGTTGTTGTCATTTTTTCGGTTTTGGAGGTGACCGGGGGCAGTGGTACCGCTTCGACGACCGTGAGGCGGGGTCAGCAGTCTGCGGCGTGTCCAATGCCACAGCCGTGGATGCTTCCTTCGGCGGCGAAGAGTGGCTCTGCGTGAACTACCTCTACGGCCCTTCTGCTGTGCTGAAGCGGCCGCGAGAATCCCGGGCCTCGATGCTGCTTTACCTCAAGGCGAGTTGTGCACTGAAGCTCATGCACCTGCACAGATGTTAAATTCTGTGGGCAGGATAGCGAGCTGCAGCAGCTGCTTCGCGAGCCCAAACTCCCAAAGCTGTGTCCGGAGTTGCAGATGCCCCTTCAGCGCGGAGAGCACCTGCAGGTGACACGGTGTTGCAAGTGTGTTTGGGGTTTTTGAAGGCAGAGTGTGGCGGGACCGCTGTGTTGGCTGGTGAGGCGGGTAGCGTGGAGTTGGAGGCTGCGGCGGCTGCAGAAGCCGAGCTGCTGAACGACCTCCATGTAGAGCAACTGAAGGAGGCACAGTACCACAGCGTGGCCGTGGCACTTTCCCTACTCTAAACCCATAGTCAGTCAACCCTTCCTCGACATAAAAACGGGGCCGTGACGTGATCGCGCTCTCAGACTCTGCGCAGTGGCTTGCGGCTTGCGGGTCGAAGAGACGAATCGCGCACCGCGCCGCGCGTCGGCGTTCTCTGTAGGTTGCAGCTCGGCTTGGCTTCAAAGTAAAAAGAGAATTTAAAGGAAGGCGCCAGCAGCACCGCCCGAGTGTGCAAGCGCGGAAGACAACGCACGATTAGCGATCACTGTCGGGCGGAGGGCGGGCGTACAAGGCCTTGATCTGAGCTACGAACGAGCCACCGAGTGGTTGGGCAAGTCTCTTTCAACAAGTCACCAGAGAAGGACATTGCTTTGGTCCAGGGTTGGCAGTGCCAGGCCTACGGGAAATCGAAGAGGCTTAATTCTGAGTGCATCAGTTTTCTCGCCGAGACTATTCAAAAATGCTCTTTATGCTGCTTGATCGGGTCGTGGTGCTGCTGCTGCAGACGAGTCGGTCCTCGACTTCGGCGACACCATTGAGTGCATTATTTGCATTGTTAATCTCGTTGTATTCAAGATTTCCTTCCGGCTGTCCGCGATTTGCCTCGATCCGCTGCCGCAGAGGAGCTTCTAAGAATCGATCTGCCTGTCTGGTGAGTTAGGAGAAAAAAGACTAGGACGAGGGGACAGCTTTGTCTGTTAAACAAAAAACCAGTTCATGTCGGATTGTCACAGTTTGGCCACTCACGGAGGATTCTTGCCGCCCCGGCCCTGCCACAGTTTCTGCCTCTCCCAGTCCCAGCTTCTGCAAGCTCCCAATCTGGGTGAGGTGAAGAAGAAGAAGGCAAAGCAGAAAAAGAAGCAGAAAGAGAAGGAAAGGAAGCACCAGGCGCGAGGGCTGGCAAGGGCAAGGGGAAGAGCTGCCACATGAGTTGCGATACGACGAGCTGTTGAATGTGAGGTTCGGCCTGGTGAGGAGCCGGGGGGCTTCGAGCCGGTCCGTGACGAGCGGGAGGAGGACAGCGAGGACGACGAGGACGGAAAACGCCAGGGCTGAGAGCAGCCTGAGCAGACCGCAGCTCTGAGGAAGCGATTTCGGAGCCTCCCATGGAGGCGCAGCCGACGGCCACGTCTCGCCCTGCCATCGCGCCGTTTCCAAGCGCGATCGCGGAGGCCCCGGAGAAAGAGGTGGACTCCGACGAAGAAGGCCAAAGCCACAGCTCGCAACTCAGGCCGCTCTTAAGGTGCGTTCATCTGCGTTCCTGAGGTTTCGAGGAAGTTCTGCGAGTGGCCCGCGGAAAGAAGCGCGGGAGCAAGAGCCAGAGCAACTGCGGAGCCCTTCTGGCGGGGCAAGGCGGGGCCCTGCCCACTGCCGCCGCGGGCCAGCTCTCGCTCCGCTCGCTCTTGAGGCGAGGCGAGTGGCAGCCGCGCCTCCAGTGCAGGGCGCGCGCCGGCGCCCAGCGAGGAGAAGAACGAGGAGGTGCCTTAGTCAGTGCTGGTGCTTTGGCCGAGCGCCGTCGCTTCCGCTTTCCGCTCCGCGGTTTGGCAGGAGCTCCCTTCGCGGACCCCTTCGGCGCCAGAGCCGGCGGAGGCCTCGGAGCCCTTGGCGGAGGAGCCGCAGGAGCCCGAGCAGGCGGGAAGAGAGTCTTGCATCCTTCTGGTTCGAAGCGACTCACATGCACCTGCAGAGAAATGGCAAGAGCAAGGGCAGCTCTGGATTTCTGCTGCTATAGTGCCGCTGCAAACACTCAGACTAGGCCTAGGCACTAGGCAGCACAGTGTGCTTGCTGGGACTGCCTGCTTCGACTTCGAAGGCGCGGAAGAAGAAGGGCAAGCAGAAGAAGAGGAAGGAGAGGGAACGAGAACGAAGACCCCAGGCCCAGGCCCAGGCCTTCTCGCAAGTTCTCGGCCGGCGCTGCCGCCCGCAGGCCGAGGAGAGGACCGAGAGGAGGGACAGCGAGGCGTGAAAGCCAAGAAGCTCATTGACTGCGAGATTTCTCTGTGTCTCTCTATGTTTCTATTTTTAGGCTTACCAGTTTACCTGGATACACAGACGGACAGACACAGACAGACACAGACAGACACAGAGA